GTTACATGCCATAGTGACCCTATTAACAACAGACTAAAACACTGCCCAGTACCGTTCCATCCTCACAGTTGTTACTGATGAGCCCATTGCTGCTGTCACTTTGTCAGTTCATCTCATTGGAGATCTTCTTCTTTTTCACTTATGCTCCACTTTACCAAGCAAGCTGTATGAGAGATGAAGTGTCATCATCCTGGCATTTATGGAGCATTCTGGCTGTATGTACTTCTTCCAATCCAAATTGCCTTTTTCTTCTGGCAGTTCATGATACTTTCAATATTCTTCTCCAACTCCGTAATTCAAATGAATCTATTCTTTGGTCTTTGTTAGTCATTGTCCAACTTTCACATGCAGATGAGGTAATTGAAAATACCATGGTTTATATTAGGGACACCTGAATCCTCACGCTGTGCTATCTTTGCTTTGGAACACTTGAAAGAGGTTTTTTGCAGCACATTTTCCTAATACAATATGTCATTTGATTTCTTAACTGCTTCTTCCATGAGTGTTGATTGTGAATCCAAGCAAAATGTATCTTTGAGAACTTCCATCTTTACTCCATATATAATGCATGTTATTGGTCCAGTTGTTAGGATTCTTGTTTTCTTTAAATTGAGGAGCAATATATACTGAAGAATGTACTCTTTGATTTTCGTCAATAAATATTTTAAGTTATCTTCACTTCTAGCAAGCAAGATAGTATCATCTGCATATCACAGGTTCTTAATGAGTCTTTATTCAATCCTGATGCTATGTTTTCTTCATATAATAGGATTCTAGGATTATATGCTTAGCATACCTTTCTTAATTTTAAACCATTCTGTTTCCTCTTGGTCTATGTACAGCTTCCTCATGAGTACAGTAAAGTGTTCTGGGGAATCCATTCTTCACAATATTATTTGTAATTTATCATGATCCATACAGTTGAAAGGCTTTGCATAGTCAATAAAGCCCAATTAAACATCTTTCTGGTATTCTCTGCTTTCAGTCCAGATCCACCTGACATCAGCAATTTAATTTGGCCTATGGCAAGTCCAAAACAGCCACATTTATTCACTGATACTCATTAGGTCAAAAGGCAGTGAATATTACATTTGATTTTATCATAACTCAAAGTAGCTGAATTTCCATTATTTGATATGAAGCAGACATGTAAATATAATTGTTGTAGTAAAAAAAGTAATTTTGATTGATAGCAGATGAAGGACTGTGGCTGAGAACGATCAGAAAAAGTTTCACAATGGAGGATATTTGAATTGCTTCTTTGAGGGTGATAGGAGTTACCAGTTATGCCGGTTTGGGGAAATAAAAAACTAGAAGAGGGGAGGCAGCATCTTTGCTGGTATTTTTCTCACTGAAATGAGCACACATGGTATATGATCAAAGTTATGGGACCAGAGCTGGCATGTGTAGAAAAGTTGAGAGAATAAATCATAAAGAATGTTGTATAACAGGAAAAGCAAATTAGATGTTTTCTAATATGCAATAGGAAACCAGTGAAATATTGTAAACATGAGAGAAAGTGTTTATATTTTTATTTTAACATAATTAACTTATTTGTAATAGATATCCCAGAGGGCAGAAGATCAGTTAATTCAGATGAAAGGTTACAAAGACTTGAATTAGTAATAGTGGAGCTTGAGAAGATTGAAAGCATGTAAGTGTGAGGAAAGGAAAGCCATAATACCAGGCTTAATTGATTTATAATTTACAATGATTTTCTGTATTTTTTGTACTCAGTATGTCCTTGGGTGGTACAAATGGTTTGTGTTTAACTGAGAACAAAAAAGTTGGGGTTGTAACTCACCCAGTTGTGCATCAACAGAAAGGTCTGGCATTGAGTTTCCATAAAGAGTCAGTAAAGAAGACCGTATAGAGCAGTTTTTCGCTTTTAACAAATGGGATCTCTATGAATCAGAACTGACTTGATGGCAATGAGTAATTATTAATAGGCATTGAATTCCACCTTGTCAGACAAGCCAGATCCCTGCAAGTTTTCTTATATTTCCCTGAATATCCAACTGTGTCTCCATGTGGTGCATCCTGGTGTGATGCTCTAGGAAATAACTGAACCACAAGATCAATTTGAACCATAATGTCAGCAGCTCATTTCCATGAGCCACTACTCATGAAACCCTATGGAGGGTCTCTATGTATGAGTCATAGCCAACTCTACAGCAGTTAACAAACAACATTCCCCATGTATTTTATATGATCATACTGCTTTACATGCCTAGGTTGAGAAATAAGCTCTTTATAAGGTCTAATTCAGTGCTGTAACATTGGAAGTCTTCAAACATAGTGGTTTAATTTATTTAAAATTTTTATCAGGATTACTCCAACAATGGCAACATAGTAGACACTCAATATTGTTGTTGTTAGGTGTT